TGGGTTAACACAAAAAAAATCTCCAAAATTTAAATAAAAATGTCACTGCATTCGTTTTTTTCTATTTAACAAAAAATACAAAACGATTAGCATAAATTTTGGACAACCTGTAGTATTCCATTATCTTTTCTTAAAACTGCAATGCATAGTTTTGCATTTCGAATGCGAAACGAAACACAAGTGTGCATTATTTCGAAAGACAAACGTGCCAGGAAGTTTTTTTCTTTTTTGGTTTGGGAAAATATTTTTTTTTTTAACATTTTCTGGTTGGTGTCATAGAAAAACGCTTGTTCGTATATCTAGCATCTGTTAGGACACATAAATTCCAGTTTTTTTCTGTGCATTTCTCACTTGGGCTTTCCATTATGTTGCCATTTTATATGTCCAGACGAAAACGTGATAATGACACCAACACAATTCGTGTGTATTTTATTCCCAGAAAAAGAAATATGGGCATTTGCCTGAGAGTTGGGTGATAAAAATATGGAAAGAATAGAAGCAATTTTCAAATATTTGAGAGGGAAATAAAGCCCTACTTAATATGTCGAGTAATATAATTTATTTAAAACATTTGATAAAATTTCCAATCCAAAATATTTCACTTATTTCCTCCATAAATATATAAATCAAAATCTCCTTAGATCCATCTTAAAAAAAAGATACCATAAATTATTACTTACCTTGAAATTAACATTTTACTCCTTTCCCCTCCCTTTCATTGCAAAGCTCCAAAATATGAAAAGATATTTAACAAAATCACTTTTTAACAAATTCTTTGAATATCGTCGTCATCATCCGCATCCTCATCGTCACAGTCAAATCATATTGCAATGAAATCATTTGTAAGCTAAACAAAAGCTCAAATTCCACTCACTATTTACAAATTCCTGTTAAAAACGAACAAGCGAACAAACAAATAAAAAAAACCCAAAGCAACGAAAAAATGGAAGACAGTGTAAGGAAATACAAGAAAGTTTTAATACTTTAACAGCATTAGGAAACACTTGCACAGCTAGCAGCAGCACACTCGACAATAAGGAGCCATGCAGCAGTTGAACAGAAGTAACGATGCCAGCTGCCAACAAAGCCAACATCACCACCACCACCACCAGCAGCTATGAAAGCAGCAGTCATAAATGCCTTCTTACGTTAAGATGATATCCTTTTCAAACAATGGAATGAAAGCGAAGAGTGTAGAGGATGAAATGAAATGTTGAAAAAGAACAGAGGAAATTATTTGAAGTAATGCGGAAATAACAACACTACAAGACACTACCTGATACCATAATAATGCAACGTCGCAGCACAATTCAGATGTTTGTGTCTTAAAGACAGCCAGCAGCTTCAGGGGAGGATGTTGCAACAATATTGCTAGAATTTCGGAATGAATATGGAAAGGGTTGTTACAATGGAACTATAGAAAGTGAAGAAATTAAGTAAAAACTTCTAACCGCGGGCATGATATCCGGAACCAAAATAATTCAATGGCATTCGGAAGAGTACATATCTGGCTATGGTATGATCTAAGATTATTAACATCGCACAAAAATTAACAAATGACGGACCTATGAAATTCAGTTTTTGGATTGGATTTATGCTAGTTCATACGAAAGCTTTATATGTGCAGAATAATTTTGAGATTTTCTCTTGACATTGTAAAATGACAGTTTTGAATAAGTAAAGGTTCAAAATAATTAAAAAACAGTAAGGAAAGTAGCAAAATCGGACTGGTCCGACTATATGCTACCCTTCACCACTTTGGGTATATTCTACATATGTATCCTAACAGACATCGCCTTTTCGAAGGAACATTGACATGAAATTGAACGAAATTAACTCTAAAGCTTGAAACTTAACACACGAGCTATGGTAGACAGATTTCCATCTCAAAGGCACGAAAGCCCCATGAACATGAAGAACAACAACAACATCAAGTGTAAATCCAAATACAGAAAAACACAAAATTTTTGTAAATACACTTGTCATGAGTGAACAAATATATAAAAGAGGTTGTTAGAAATACTTCAACGTACAAAACATTCAATTATAGTAACTTCAGTACATTGTACAAAATTGTGTACCGGTCGGCCAATCTTTGGTCTTTAGTGCACAATTTACATTAAATCGGACGAAAATATATATGGGAGCTAAACCTAAATCTGAACCGATTTTCACGAAACTTAGCACACATCATTATGAACCTAACTCGGTACAATATGCCAAAATCAATATATATAGGGACTTTGGAGCACTGCAACATCGGAATCCGAAAATTCCAACGGTGTTGGAAAGAGTACATGTCTGGCTCTCGTATGAACTAGGATTATTGACTTCGCACAACAATTAACAAAATGGCAGAACTTTGAATTTTTTTTTGGGAAATCGCCAATTTTTTACCACAAACTAAGTTAAAAAATAGGGAAGATCTTCCCGATTGGCATTATCCTAGTTCATACGAGATCTATACACTCCCAGAGAAACGTGCCACAATTTGGAACCCATTGGATTATTAGTTTTTGAGTTATCGTGCCCGCCATCCGCAAAAGAGAAAAACGCGTTTAAAGTTTGAGAAGCCCTTTAGCCGTCACTTGATGCTGACACAATAAATCGGCTATATCTTCAAGGGTTCTTGAGATTTTTACTTGAAATTTTGTAGGGACATTCTTGAATTAGTGTAGATTCGAATTAATTCAAAAAAAAAAATTGACTCCGAGAATGGGGGGTGCACTCAACTCCGAAGGATTGTCCGATTTTTACAAAATTGTTCACAGCGTATTGAAATAGGTCCATATTTTATGCGAAGTATTGTGGAAATCGGTTTAGATTTAGATATGGCTCCCATATATAGTTTCGTCCGATTTTTTCCAAGGATTCGTCCATACTCCCAAGGATTGTTCGATTGAGACAAAATCTTATAAAGCGTTCTGAATTAAGTCCAGTTTAGTGTCTGTGGAGTTTTTTTAATCGGTTCAGATATATGTAATATTTATTCGATTGAGACAAAATCTTGCGCTATGTACGGAGTTAGGTCCATATAAACGTATGCGAAGTTTTGTTGAAATCGGATCAGATTTAGGTATAGCTCCCATATATAGTTTCGTCCGATTTTATGCAAATGATGCACCGAATAGCAAATGCTACGGTCTAGATTTATACATATTTCCACACACATTTTTTGCTCGATTTTTTTACAAATGGTACACAAAAGAATCCGATTGACATGAAATTTTTAATAGGTTTCAGAATGGTATTTATATAGGCGTTTTAATTCTCTCAAGTATCTATGTATATCACACATTTAGTTTCGCCGGTTCCATTCCAATGGTCCTCTGAAGATGATATGTATGTTCCACATACATAATATTGTATATATTAGAATCTCTTGTATGTATCCAAATGGTGAAGGGTATCATATAGTCGGCCCGTCCGACTTTTGAACTTTCCTTACTGGTTTTTATATGAACTATAGGACTTTGTTTAACATGCTTCGGAATATCCGATTTTGGCTAAAGAGGTCTCTTCATAATGCCGATCTCATAGAATTCCTGCTCTCTATTTGCAAAAAAGCTCAAGTATTCGATTTTCACAATCCTCCCTAGATACCAATGTTTTTCATTAAAGAAATTTTGCAATGCAGTTCAGACTCGCTTGGTGCCAAGTCCGAATTGTATGGCGGATGTATTAAAACTTCCCAACCATGATCCTATCTTCAAACGGTCCAGTTTTTAACAGTAAAAATCAGAAAAAAATTCCAGTCCAACCAAATGCATAGCAGAATCTTCTTGTCCGTTAGTCTTGGTTTGGCGACCGTTTGAGGTGTTTCGCCGCTCTTTTACCATGATCGTTTTCATACAGGGTTATTGTATGTGATCCACTTCTCACATCAAATCACCATACGTTTAAGAAATGGGTCTATCTCACTCCGTTTGGCCAAGGCTTCGTAGATGGAAATTCGATTTTTAGCTCCTGGTCGATGTTACGTCTGCTAACATGCCGGTCAACTTCGACCATTTCTCCAATTCTATTTTCTTTCTTTTTTTGTTAATCTCACGCCATTGTAAATCCCCCATTTTCGTAGAGATTTTCCACATTGCATAGCTGCGACAGAAGAGATTACTGAAATAATTCCTAATGAGATTTAGAGTAACATTTGCTGCTGCATGTATCCCTGATGTACGTAAAATAATTTCCACAGCGGAAGAAAGTGACTACATCTACGGGAAGCCAGTCTGCCAGACAACATCCTCAGCTATTCGCTGGGTCTACTGGTGATATAATATTGTGTATTTAAGGTGTGCATTTTAACAGTACAACATTTCCGACGATGGTATCACAAGCTATTTAAACTATTCATTTGGGTGACATTTTCCGCCATGCTATGACGTCAATTCAATTGCAATGGTTGAGAAATTAGTATTTATGGTATTTTCGAGTATGTGTTGTTACTCATCCTTAAGGAATCGGTAATTTTTGTAGAAATGTAAAAAAATCTAATAAAGGGGGTGCAGCGTTAAGGTATGAAGTACGAATGAGAGAGACAGTTAATTTATATTAATTTGGAATATATTAAACAGAATGAATGGGTGGGTTCCTTGACTTAAATATATGTGACTTTTATGTAGAACAATAGGAATTGAGAAACTGTATAAAACAAAATCAGGCATGAGGGCCTGTGAAATTTTTTTCTATAGAAAGGAATGAAGCCTGAAGCCCAAAATATCAAGCATATCGTAAAAATACAGGACTAGGCCTTATAAATGTACCGATTGATTTTAGGTTTTTTGGAATATCCACCTCATGTTGAAGGATATAAAAGTTCGGACCCATTGAATTTAAAATAATTTTTACTTGTTTTACTATATTTCCTTGCTTTTTACAATATGTATTACCTTGGAATAAATTTTCAAATTGTTTTCATTTTCGGTATATTTTCCAAAGAAAAAAGTACATTTTTGTCTTCAATTTTTCTAAAAAAAATCATTAAAAATACGTTTTCCAAATTACCATGGTTGATGCAATTTTCAATGGCCTCTTGGTTGGTTCATCTGGATATGCTCTTAGTTTGGTTGCTCCCGCAAAACATCCCTTCCTTTTCACCGCCTGTGCAGTGGGATTGTATCATGGCGTTTTCGGTCTATATGCCAACATCATCGAAGGGCGTAGTAACAGTCAAAAATCTTTAGATCCACCATCGGCCGAAGACAGTTTCATGCGTAAAGCTCAACATATAACACAATGCTGTGTGGATATAATGACGGTGCCGCTGATAAATATCGATCTCTATATGTTATCTGAACAGTCCTCTTCCCTGGCATTGGGACATGCATTATTTGTGGTGCCCTTGGTTTTCGATTTAACTTTCAAGATATTCGATAATGAAGATGGCGAAGATAGTGCCACGGAGACGCTTAAAGAACTATCGATTTTGGGCAATGTGGTCTCATTGGTATTTTTATCGGTCAATGAAAATAATCTCATCTATGGATTAATGGCAATGTCTGCTCTACTGGCACAATTTGGTTCTAACGTTATGGAGAATATGCTACGCGGATCGGGCGCAAATATTGCATTGATGGGTTATTCATTGTTGTTATCATTAATTCCTGAAGCAATTGCAAAATCGTGAAGTGTTAGAAACTAAACATTGAAAATTATTAATATTTTTGTATGAAAATTAGAAAAAAGGTGAAATATATAGTATGCCGATACTTTTTAGATAATGTTTTTTAATTATCGGTTTTACTTTATAGATGATAACCTGAAGTTATTCAAGAATACATGGACTTAGGGATTACAAAAATATTCTCCCTTAAACTTATCAAGTGAGTAATATTTCAGTTTAATGGAGAGTCCTTAATGAGAATTGAACATCGGCGATTGTAGATCTTGGGTATTATTTCGACACATTGTTTGTTCTAGGCTGATAATATGAAAGAATTTTTTACGTCCCATAGGTAATGCAAAAATTGTTATCAGCATAAAATCCTATGACGAGATAGCTATGTCCGATCATCTGTCTATCTGCTGAAATTATGATTGAACTAACAATATTTAAGATTGAGATTTGAAATTTTGAACATACTTTGCAACTACCTCTAAGATGTTTTGGTAAAACTAGTAAAAGTGTTAGTCGGTATTGCCGACAGATATGAACCCTCAGACTATGATTTGCGGAGGTCTATGGAATTACACACAGGTTTTATTATCGCTTTATATTGCTCATCAAATCGATTCGATTAAAATTACATTTACAAGTTTATAAAATGTTGACCCTTTGGGGAAGGCACCAGAAGAGGATGCCGACTGGTCACACCTTCAGACTTGCTTGGAGAAAATAATTATGCAAAATGTGGTTCAGATCGGGCATTACTTTCGCCTAACATTAGATTTTGAAATATATTGAAAATGTAGACCATCTGTTGGGAGGTATCAGAAGGATTGGACCAATAGGTCTCATCATCGGACATGATATGGGCTTGATAATAATAATAATAGTTGGGTTCAAATTGGACATTACATTCGCCTGATATTGATTTTATAAATGTTGACCATTTGTGGGTGAGGTATGGAAAGGAGTGGACCAATGGGTAACATCTTCGGACTTGATATAGGCTTTCTGTAGCTAGTATTTTGTACCAAGTTTGGTTCAAATCGGATAGTGTACAATGTTGACCATTTGGTGGGAAGTATCAGAAGTAGTACCACATCATTGAACTTGAACTAAGTTTGGAAGAGATATTAAGATATGCAAAGTTTCGATGACATATGTTACTCCCATCAAGGGATATCGTGTGCAGCAGCCGGGTAGGCAAACGGGCGGACATTTGGAAATAGACTCGAAATTGTCTTAAAGAAACATAGGGTTTAAAACCAATTTATCGATGATGCAAATGCCGTATAAAAGTGTATACAACCTCATTAGTCATAAGGCTGAGGGTTAAAAAATATAGGTCCTCCATTTTTGGAATATCACCCATATACCCATACTGTACCCCAATATTCACTATTTTGGAAACACTTCTCCATCGAATTTGCTGTAGTTTTGGATTTTCATTGTTTAGCAATTCTTCCCACCAGAAATCTATCGATATTGGTTCCATTTTTTCCATATCCCAATATAAAGGCATCTCCAAAATTTGGTTTTCTGGGACTTTGGGCACCATGTTTGGCGTAATGTTTAATTTAAGACTCCCATAGGTTACCAAAAACTACCAATATTGGCCCAAGTTTCAGTGTAGCCCTCATATAACGGATCCGCCCATTATTTGGTATTTTGGAGATTTCGCGTTTTTAAACTGAATTGGCTATAAATTTGATATTTCGGGTTCTCAAATCTTCATTCCACAAATTATAACGGTACTCCTCATTATTCAATATTTTGGAGATTTTGGTCACATTTATCAATCGTTTTGCTGTAATTTTGTATTTTGGGTTCTCATGCGGTAGGAGACCTCTCTACAAAAACTATCGATATTACCCCAAATTTTCGGGATAGTCCCCCTATATTACAGTACCTTAAATATTTGGTATCTGAAAAATTCGGGATATATTTTTCAACCCAATAGGTTCTAATTTCATATTTTCAATTCTTATCGGGTGTCAAATTTTTCGACCAAAATTTTTCAAAATAGGTTAATGTTTTGGTATAGTCCCATATAACTGTATCCCCCAATTTCGGTACTTTGACAATTCAGGCATATATTGCACCGAGTTTGGCTGTAATTATATATTTTTTTGCTCATAGGTAGGCAATTTTTTCCTATTAAGAATTACCCAAATCGGTCCATGATCTCACATAGTCCCCATATAAGTATAACCCCAAATGTTCGAAATTTCTGGATTTCTGGCATGCCTTTGAACCGAGTTTACTCGTATGTGATATTTTGGATTGTATCTACAACAAGTATAAATCACTTTTTGTTAATAGGCAGCACTTCATACGTACGTATTTTGATGGCCACTTTCGTCTGTGATAATATGTTAGCATTACCAAATGTCTGCAAGTTAGCATTCCGGGCCTTGGTGGTTGGAAAACATCTTCACAAAAAAATGTTCAATATAAGTCTATGTTTCTATACAGCCTAACTGAGGTGTATGTTGTTGAGAATTTCGTTTTCTACTGGCAGCAATAACCTAGGGCATAGCCCCTCTAGTAAAACGTTCCGATGAATTATAGACATTACGAATGTACACCTCATGGAGTGAAGTATAAAAACTTCGGCCTGGCTAAAGTATTTTTTTTTTAATTTACCTTATACTTATTCTAATATCTCCCAATTCAGACTACCTTACATTTGCGTTCATTGCATCTTCTCCCCAAAAAATATTTGAAAAAAAACTGCAAATTTAATTGACGATTATTTAAAACAATTTAAATGAAAGTCACAAAAGTAATTTAAGCGAGTATAAAGTATCGCAAATCTTTATCAGATTTCAATCGCAAAAAATCTACACTAGTACCTCGAAGCCTAAGCAAACATTTATTTTTGCAATTATATTGTCATCGATTGGTGTGAAAAGTTGTCGTTGTTGTTATACCCATTCTCCTTCTTTTCTCGGTTCATCTTCTTTCACTTTGGGAGCCATTATAGTGTCAAAGCACTTAAATACAGTGCCGCCATCAAACAAAGACCGATAGATCGACAGACAGACAGACTGGCATCGAGGTGACAGGGCAAATGTCTAAGTGAGTCTGGGGACACATTTGCATGTAAAATATCCATATCCGAGCTAACAGAGTGGAAAGAACGTGATTTGATTTTAAAGATTATGTTCGGAAACGACACACACACGTTTGCTCATTGCAGCATCCGGGTGTGAGTGTGGTGGAATGTACCGATGCGATAAAAAGAAATTAATAAGCTATGGAGTGGAAGAGTGTTAGCGGCAGCAGTCATTGGGGTTACTCAGTCGAGACAACTACGCCAATAAGTAGTACATGTATCTTCGGCAAACATGTCTATGTGCGGAAAAAATTTAAGAAAAACAAATCTGAACTATGCAGAACAAAATTAACTTAAAAATGTGTAGTGGAAACAAGATAAAACCAGTAAGGAAAGTAGTAAAGTCGAACTGGGCCGACTATATGATACCCTTCACCACTTTGGGTATATTCTACATATGTATCTAAACAGACGCCCCTTTTCGAAGGAACATTGGCATGCAATTGAACGAACTTAAATCTAAAGCTAACCCAATTTTCTCGAAACTTAACGCACGAGCTATGGTAGGGACAGATTTACATCTCAAAGGCACGAAAATCCCCATGAACATGCAGAACACCAGCAACACCAGTAAATACAAATACAGAAAAAACCACAAATTTTCTGTAAATACATTTGTCATATGCGAACAAATATATAAATGAGGTTGTTAGAAATACTTCAACGTACAAAACATTCAATTATAGTAAAAATTGTATGCCCGTCGGCCAAACATTGGTTCTTTAGTGCACAATTTACCTCAGATCGGATGAAAATATATATAGGGGCTACATCTAAATCTGACATGATTTTCTCGAAACTTAGCACACGTCATTCTAGACTCATTTGAGTATACCGTGCCAAATTTCGTGCAAATCGAAAGATATATAGGGACTTTTGGTGCCCCATTTACATAAAATCGGAGAAAATGTATATAGGAGGTATATCTAAATCTAAACTGATTTTCTCGAAACTTAACACACATCATTCTAGACACAATTCAGTATACAATGCAAAATTTCGTGCAAATCGAAAGAAATATAGGGGCTTTGTCGCACCATTTACATAAAATCGGACAAAATAATATAAGGGAGCTATATCAATATCTGAACCCATTTTTACGAAGCTTTGCACACTTCGTGAACTATATCCAGTGTTGCCAAAACTTTGTTGATAAAAAATGCTAGACTTTGTTTAAAAAAGTGCTAAAAATTTTTAAGAAGTGCCAAATAAAAGTGTTAAAAATATTATAAGAGAAATTAACAGAATTGGATGTAATTTGATATTTTGTATTCTCATTATGTTCAAATTTCCCTACCATAAATTATCAATGTGGGTATATGATATATAATTTGAAACTTTTGTTTTTAATGGTGTGTCAAATTCTCCCACAAAAACGGTTTAATACCGGTTTTGTAGAATGGCATATATGCAAAAATTGTCAAGGTGAAGGTTTGCAAATAGTCCCTATGTTAAAGTAATGCTCCTTCTTTATTTTGAAGGTTTTAGACGCATTCTCTATGTTCTCTTAGGGTAGGATATATTTATGAGGACAATTTTCTACATAAGTCTATGTTTGGACATATCCCCCATATAAAGGTTCCATCCAATTTGCGTCCTTTTAAGGTTTAGAACCTTTTCCTGCCGATGTGTAGGTCCATCTTTTGACATAACTCCATTATAAAGTGGGACGCTACCCATTTTCGGTACTCTGAAGTGACTATAATTTGGCTTCCCGATTAATAAAAAAACTCCTTTGTAAAAGTTTTCCGATTTAGGTTCATGATTTTTACATCGATCCCATAGAAATGTCATCTTCATTTGGTTTTTTATTTTACCAAATTAAAAGCCTACTAGAAGGCGGTGCCATAGTAACCACATGAATTGCAGGGTATAAAACGTTCTGACCGGACGAACTTTAACA